AGATTGTCTTATTATAAGTGCATATTTTCTAATTTTAAGAGGAAAAATACTAATTCCATTGGCAAATCATCTTATTAACCTACTCAAATTAAGGGTAAATACACTTCATTTAAGACATTTTTACTTATTCTAGATTGTTTTTGCAGTTTGGCTTTAGACCAAATCAAAGCTCTGAATTAAACCTCTCAGGCGAAGTCGCAGCTGTTTTGTATGAAGCCTTTTTTTTCTAATTTAACAAAATGTGAAGAAAAGCCCCTTTGCTTAAATTAAGAGCTTTTTGTCTTCTTCATCTCACCTGACCGCCCTTTCCTCCATTATCAAACTGTAAAACCATCAATCATGAGTCAGCTTTTCTGCGTCCCCACCTACCCTGAGTGTTTAGATAATAGTGCTTCCACAGAGGCCTCAGCTTATGCTTCCCACCAACGTCCCAGATTGTGAACTTCAGGTTTTTATATTCAACCGTCTCCACATTGAAACCTGGAGGAAAAAGGAGAAACGTTTCTGACTCAGGTGACTGTTCTGCGGCCGGGTGTCTGGCGCTTTTAGAAGCGCTTACCGATGGTTGGGATGGGCTGCATGAACTCATCCTGCTTCAGCTTAAAAAGGATGGTGGTCTTTCCCGCCCCGTCGAGTCCCAGAGTCACAACTCGGATCTCCATCTTTGGGCCGATGTGGACTCTGTTGTCCTGAAAGAACAACGTATTCCTCAGCTCTCTGGCTGTCCTGTTCGCCTACGGTTTGGCGGCTGACGGTGCGTACCTTGGTGAAGGTGACAGGGATGCCGGCGTCCAGCTGAACGTGATCTGCCAGCTCAGTGAACTGGTGCTGCTGCTTCTGAAGCGTCTCCAACAAACAGTTGATCTCCTGCTTTGCCAGCACCACTCTGCAGTCATCCTGCAGCAGAGAGGCAGAGACAGACAGTTTATTACCTCTTGATGTTAAAAAAAAAAGTTTTTTTTGGTGTTTAAAAAGGTTTCCGGACCTGTTGCAGCGTTTTCTCGCAGTGCAGGCAGGCAGTGGAGACCTGAGACAGCAGGATGGTCATGTCCTCCTGCTGCTGCCTCAGCCAGATCAGCCTCTCCCTGACGTGAGCGTCCACCACGCTCAGGGCCATCTCCTCCTGCCGACACAGGGTCTCATGGAGGTCGGCGAAGTAAGCGCGGACACAGGAGCGAGCGCTCTCTGCTGTGCCGGGGACCTGTCAGACAAAGAGAGGAGTTTAAAAAACCCACCATGCAGGTTTAAAAAATAAAAGCCTTTCAGCGCGTCGTACATGCTCCGTGTGCGCCATTCCGACTCCATCCTCTACGATCTGCTCGCCGCCCTCGATCTGCTGCACGATGCCCACCAGCTTCCTGGAGTACTCCGACACCTCGTCGGTGAACGTACGGATGCAGTGGGCCATGTCCAGGATGGACGCACGGATCTGATTGGCTTCTGACTCCAGGAGGGCGTGCTGCACAGACAACAGAGGCTCATTCAGAGCAGAGGGAGCAGGAAAGTATTCACACCCGCTCACCTCTATACAGCTCTCTGGTTTAATGGAGTAGAGAAAAAATAAGAGGGAATTTTGTTTGATTATTGTTGGAAGCAAGTAAAATGTTTTTCAGTTGAAAAAGAAATAAAACATTCAATCCAAAGATAAAACTTTGAAATTTTCTTTATAAAAAAAAAACATAACTTATCAACCTCGCTGTTTTCTAAGATGTTCTTTGTTCTCTGAGATTTTAGTATTGACATTTTTTTCAAATTACAATTTTTTTTACATATTTTAAATTGCCAAATTTAAATTTTCATTACTTTCACAAATTGCATTCTTTTCAAATTGTGTTTAAATCGATCAAATGAAAAAAACAAAAAACAAAAAAAAACATGAAATTAATTAAATTTGGGAAAAGTTGCTCTTAAAGGAATAGTACACCCAAAACATGATTAGCCTTCATTTTCTACTCACCCCCATGCTGAACAACACTCTGGAGTACTT